ATCATATGCCGAAACAAAGCTAAAATATGGAGGTTCATAACAACCCGCGTTGGCAACAAGAGGATGGATCGAAAAATTGAAGCCTTCCTTCAAAGTCAGGGCCCTCTGGCTCTGGAAAGATACAGCTTCTGTGATTTGAAGAAAATGACAGACTCATTCAAAGTTAAACTTGGAGAAGGAGGCTACGGTGCTGTTTACAAAGGCAACCTACTCAATGGTTGTCCCGTAGCAGTAAAACTCTTGCACGAATCAACTGGGGATGGCGAAGAATTCGTCAACGAGGTTGCTAGCATCAGCAAAACCTCTCATGTTAATATCGTCACCCTGCTTGGATTTTGCTTAGAAGGACGCAGAAAAGCCCTTATCTTTGAGTTCATGTCCAATGGTTCTCTTGAAAAGTTCATTTCCAATAAGAAAACAGACGAAACTGTTGCATCATTGAGTTGGGAGACTTTATATCAGATTGCCAAAGGAATAGCTCGAGGACTAGAATACCTGCACAAGGGATGCAACACTCGGATCTTGCATTTCGATATAAAACCACATAACATCCTTCTGGACGAAAAGTATCGTCCAAAGATCTCAGATTTCGGACTTGCTAAGCTCAATAACAATGAAGAGAGCATTATTTCCGTATCAAATGCCAGAGGGACAGTCGGGTATGTAGCTCCAGAAGTGTGGAACAAAAACATCGGAGGAGTTTCACATAAATCTGATGTATATAGCTACGGAATGATGCTGTTGGAAATGGCTGGAGGACAGAAGAAGGATAACAGTGAATCTGAAGAAAGCAATAATGGGTCAGGGAGCGAGGTGTATTTCCCTCCATTGAAGATTTACAAGAAGCTTGAAGAAGGAAGTGATGTTGTGGGAGTGGTTAAAGGTGTGATAAGCGTGGAGGAGAATGAGATTGCGAAGAAGATGACAATGGTGGGACTGTGGTGTATTCAGACAATTCCTGCTCAGAGACCAACCATGAGCAGAGTCATTGAAATGTTGGAAGGTAGTACGGATACTCTCGAAATGCCACCAAAGCCTTTCACGTCTTCGACATCAACGTCTGAATCTTCCTTTGTAATGGGTTCATTTCAGAGTAGTGTCTGATGTTTAATCTTGTGCATGTTTTTGGATGTGAATTCTGAATAATGTAAGGCGCGAGGAAGCATGTACGTGTATAACTAATGAATATTATTTTTCTTTGATGGATGAATATTGCTTTTAATATAACATAGTGTTAAAAGCGGGATTTAAATCCTTTGACGTTGAAATCAATAAACTTCTGTGGATTTTGCCTTTCAAGAAAAAAGAAAAGAAAAGATTTCATATTTTATAAAATGTAATACAACAAAAACAACTGCTGCAGGCTTTGTTCCATTAGGTGGGGTGAGATATATGAATTATACTATATTATTGTGTTTTATTATTTTTATGAAACTTTTAAAAATATTTTTAATTAGGAGGTCTTAGCCAACAATTTTTATTAGTATTTTGTTTAGGCTTTTCTCCATTTCACTTAACGGAGCTCAAAATTATCCATTTCATTATTTTCAATGGTGTCTCCCATAATTTGATTTATATATATTTAAACTATTTTAAATAATTTTCTACCATTTTTTCTTAGTAGGTGTTATGCTATTTTATAAAAACTAATATATAGAATGATAGAAATTAAATACTAAAAAATGATAACTTTACCAAAATTCATAGGTCTTAATTTTAGAGGATTTAAATCCAACAAGAACAATAAACATGATGCAAATTTTGTTGCAGAATCGCAAGTACGAGTTGAAGTTTTTAAAACGAAAATAACAGCTTAGTGCGACATTGTAAGCCTTGTTCATAGCTTTTCATAGTTTTTGATAACGTTATGTGAACAAATTTCCATGATACGCATACCTCTCTTACTGTTCTTATGTCTTCCTTCTAAGTTCTAACCTGGATTTGGGTTTTTATTTATTATCAAAGGTTACATCATACATGCAATTTATAACATTATAAAAACATAAAAATAAAAAGTAATAAGCTTAGTTCAATTTGGAGCATTTAGGTTTCTAAAATTCAAAATCAAATTGGCCAAAATAATCTTAAAAAAAAAATACACCAACTGAACATCTCATAGTTTGGTTCGTTTTTCAATTCTATTTCAATTTTGCAAACTCTAATTGTATATATGAAAAAAAATCTTTTTGTCAATACTTGAAAAACTAACATCTAGAAAATGGCAATTTATAGAACTGACGTATAAACATTATTCAAATTTCGTCCCTAGGCTTTACGTTCCCCCAAAAATGGTTCTCATTACTTTTCCATTAACCAACCAAATCTAATGTAAGAATAAAGTGGAGTCAACTTGGATTCTAGTTAAGTTAAAAAAAAAAAAAATCTTCTGTGTAACGGGTTTGCGCGGGCTGACCAATCGACTTATTGAGTCATTTATGAGGAAGGAGATTCGTGTTATAATTAGTAAAAATAGCATATCAGAATTCAGAAGTGAGGCATAAAATCACTGGCCGAGCGCAGATTACAAAATACCAACAAGTATTGATTTTTCATATGGGCTTGGATCTGTAAGCAAAAATAAAATGAATCCTAATTCAAGAGGCCTGGTTCTTAGAGAATAAGTATCCAAGCAACCCCATGTTTTTTATACTTACATACATACATAAAAACTCATGAACTGGCATACTATATGGAATCATCTCAAAAGTTTGACCTCGTCAGCTTTGTAAGTCTATGAATAACGTTCCTTGATTTCCCCATTCATATCTGCTTGGTTCCACTTGAAGCTCATGAAGAGGTAGAATATTAATCCTTCTATATGAGTGTCTAGCAGTCTACAACTGATCTACTAGGACTAGGAGGGACTACTAAATTTCTGAAAAGCCAAAAATTTGTGGGCCAGACAGCATGTTGAGATAAGTGGTGGTCAATTCCTAGAATTGGTTTTTTAACGTAGAATGCCTGTTTTATGCTTTGCTATTCGTATCATGTATATGCCAGCAGCTCTATCACGTCTCTGCTTCGTTCAAATCCGATGGTTCCAAAGCTTTGAGCAATTAACCATTGGATTTTCTGCACTCTGTTCTACATAAAGATCATATTTAGGTGGTTGATTAGAGTTGATCTGAGCAACCACTTGGAAAATGAAAAAAACAGAGGAACCCAATTGAACGAAGAGCCATGAGATGACGCAACTGCAGGCAGGGAGTCAAGATTCTTTCTATCTATTCTTCTTCCATATGTTTGACATCCAACATAAACCAGTTTTTGTACAAGGTCTAATCGGCAACATTTAAATGCTCAAAAAAAATTTAAATGAGTTGGATTTTAGGTTCAAACATCGCTTTGGTGATACTAATATGGATCACTAACATTAGTTCTCGGACGAAGTTCAACAACGGCTCACGCGGACTTGAAACTCACAGCACGATGCATGCCTCCCTTAATGTGTGGTGTATTTTCGACAGAATAAAATTGGTCTATGGACGAGGCGGCGCTAACAAAATTGTTTTCTTGTTCACGCCAAGACATGACAAAATTGTTTATCCCTGTTGTATGCTTGGAGCGATAGTTGTTTGCTCATATCCCATCAATCCTTGCTTTTTTGATTGCCTACACATGTCTTACTATAAGAGACAACTTTGCTCGAAAACTGATAGGATATTAATGGAGATTTTCAACGTTTCGAAGTTTAGGGGTGCTTAATCTGGACCCGTCCCGATTGACCCGATATCGTCCGATTATATCGGGACGGATCTTGTCCTGACCCGAAAATAATTGGGACGGGACAGGAAAAGGGTTCGGGACAGGACGTGACACGAGATTACCATCGAGACGTCCCGTCCGGTCCCGAATATTATATATATTATTTTTTATTTTAAATATATTAATTATATCAATTATAATTTTAATACTTACAATTCTTATTTAAAACTAAAATGTTTTTATATTGAAAATTTTAATGGCATGGAGTAAACATGACGATATCTTTTTTATAATATATTAATTATATTAATATAATCTATTCTTATATCTATCTATTTAATAACTTTTATTTATAACATATTTCTTACTTATTTTTAGAAGAGTAATTAGTTTAGTACATCTTCACTAAAGTAGTAGAACAATTATTTGATGTTGTGTTTGACTTGCCTGTTGTTGCTAATCTTATAGCATAAAGATCACTTGTATTTTTTATTATTATAATATGTAGTTGTGATTAATATAATTCAATAATTGATTTTAAATTATTGTTATTTATGTACTTGTGTTATTTTGATTTTAAACTTAATAAATTATATAATTTAAAATTTTAATGAACATTATTATCTAGATCTTTTTTTGATATTATTTCATTTATCGAGACGGCGGGACGTCCTGATCTTGTTCCGGTCCCGTCCCGACTCTTAACGGGATGAGACGACTATCGGGACGGGACAGGACACGGGACCAAAATTCAGTTTCGATCTTTTTTTTGGGACGGGACATGGGACGGGGTGTCCCAGTCTCGTCCCGTCCTGTCCCGTGAACACCCTTAATGAAGTTGCATAAGTTTTTTGTTTGTCTATTTTTGAAGTCTAGAAAAAAATAAAAAATAATTAAACATTTTATTAACTGCGTGAAATCCTAAACAAAAATCCAAGGCGTCTCCCTCACTTTTCCCGTCCAAAGTACAAGACGAGGGAAACAGAATGGATGCTGATCGAGCAGCAGCCGGCAATGCAACCGTAAACCTTGGACTTCACTAGGAAGTCCCTTTTGCATCCGGCCATTGATTCCGTTCGTAGTGCTTCCATTGCAGAGAAACCAAAAGAACGAAGGAAAAAAAAAAAAGTGCAATCAAACAAAGCTCAAGTTACATAGCATCGCAAAAAGCAAATATTTTTTAAAACTAATAATAATAACGAAACCCCTATTAAATTCTGGCCCGTTTTCTTCAGTCACAGTAAGTGGTGGCCATGAAAGCAGAACACGACTGGGCACCCTAATTCTCCGACAAAATGCTTTTCTCGTACACATTCAGAAACTTGTTCTTCTTCTGCTATCTCTTGCTGTCATCAACGACTGTGCCACAATACCAGAGTCGTAGGGAAGATGATGGCTACGTAAACTGCCACTACACCTACAATTGTGGGAACTTTGATATACCCTACCCTTTCTGGGGAGAAAACCGACCCGGTTACTGTGGAAGGGATGGTTTCAAGGTCAAGTGCCTGCCCTCTAACTTACCTTCCATTCAAATCGGCTCCCAAAACTTCACCTTGACGGGTATCAATCAAGATCGTTGGATTGTAAAAATGGTCCGAACAGACATTCCCAGCTACGATAATTGTTCTTTCCATTTCACCAACACTTCATTGGACCCCTCTCTGTTCTCCTTCGACACATCTGTCGTGAACATGACCCTGTTCTATGACTGTGATCCCGGGATTTCCATCGGCCAAAACAACATCACGTGCATGGATGATAGTAAAAAACAGGCTTTCTTCGTGATGAATCAAGATCATCAGTCAGGACGATTATTCACGGAGATTTCTCAGCACTGTGGAATTCAACTTGTGGCGATTACAATGGGCGTCACTGTGGACCCTTTTGGTGGAATTGAATCGCTGAGGGCTGCTTTGGATATGGGATTTGATGTGCAGTATCTCGCAAACTGGAGTTACTGCTCACTATGCATGCAATCTGGAGGAATTTGTGGAAGCGTCCGTGACAATGGATCTCTATTTTCTTGTCATTGCCGAGACGGATCTTATGACTTTGTGTGTCCTAATCTTGCAAGTATGGCTTCTCTCTCTGTTCCTTCTATCTGCAGGCATTTCAGTTTCTCTGCATTATGCATATCAGTGTTTTGTTCTTGTCACGCTTTCTTTATTCGTTGCATCGTATCTCACATCATAGATAACTTCTATGCTCTTCGGTTTGTCTGGTAGGGTGTAGATAAAATTCCTTGAGGCTTGTCTGTTGTCATGATATCAGTTCTTATACTTAACTAGCCAAGTAGTCACACTGATAGTTATGAGTGGTGTCATGATATCAGCTCTTGTACTTAACTAGCCAAGTAGTTACTCATGATAGTTATACTTAGTCATGAGTATTTATGACTGGTTTAATCTCTGTTTTTTAAAATTAAAAGTATTTTTTATTTACATGTTTTTAAAATTATTTTTATTTTTAATTCTTAGAGGTATTTTCATTTTCTTCTTTTATTTTCAAATCACACTATATTATAGATGATTACCATTAATCACAAATAACCATCATCATGCCCATTTTTTAATTCTAAAATTATTTTTAAATTAATTTAATTAGCTTAATCAAATAATTTTTTTATTTTAATTTGATAAACAAGTTTTAAAAATTGATTTACAAAATAATTTGTAAAAATGAAAAATAGAACAAAATTAAGCAAGACCTCGAGGCTGATTCAATTGGGAACAAAGTTATGGTCTAGGCTAGATTAACAACCCAATTATAACAGTTTGATCACAGTTTAGTTGCAGTCTCATCATTGACTCTTGAAACAATATCCTGTCTTGTTTAATGATCAGTTCAATTTTCAAAATTTTGGTTTAACACTTTAAATAATTCTCTCTCTCTCTCTCTCTACACACACACACACACTATGCTCTAATTTCTTTTTGCTCATGGTTACAGAAAGTTCCAGCAATTCGAAGAAAGAACTTATAATAATAGGTAATCATGGGTCGACCAACCTTGTGTTTCCATTTTTTTTTCTTTTATACATTTTACACAGTATCGGTTATATTCTAATTCAATACTTCATATCAGCTAATATTTCTTACGTTTCTCACACTACCTTGTTGATGGCTCAGCTTTAGCTGGGTGGTTTTAATGTGCTTCTACATTTGAACGTGTCTGAATAGCCCTCTGTCAAAGCAATAAGTGCAAATATATAACTGAAGAGCACCCTATGCTTAATAATATATATAAATTTAAATGTATTCAGATTTCGAAGTTTTTAAATTTTAAAATTGCTATATCTTCAGATTAATCTGTCTTCTTTTCTACTCAGACATTTATCCACCATGTGTCATGGCAGGTTTTACAAGTGGAGCAACTGCAACACTTTTAATCTGCATTACTATCTTCCGTTGTAAAATCAGATCATTGAGGCAGAAGATAAGATTCTGGAAGACATCTAAGGTAGACCAACAAATGGAGGCCTTCATTAGAAATCAAGAGCCTTTGGCTCTCACAAGATATAGATTTGAAGATGTCAAGAAAATGACCAAATCTTTCCAAGTTAAATTGGGAGAAGGTGGTTATGGTACTGTATACAAAGGCAAGCTACTCAATGGCTGCCCTGTTGCTGTAAAGATGTTGAATCCATCCAAAGGAAATGGGGAAGAATTTGTCAATGAGGTCGCCAGCATCAGTAGAACTTCTCATGTTAATGTTGTTTCCCTCCTTGGATTTTGTTTGGAAGGCGAGAAAAAGGCTCTCGTATATGAATTTATGCACAATGGATCTCTTGACAAATTTATCCGCAACAAGGAAAATAAAACTAATTCATCCTTGACTTGGGAAAAATTGTACCAAATTGCAATTGGAACAGCTCGAGGACTTGAATACCTGCATAGGGGATGCAACACTCGAATCCTACACTTTGACATAAAGCCACATAATATCCTTTTGGATGAAAGCTTTTGTCCAAAGATCACAGATTTTGGACTTGCTAAATGTTGTCCCAAGAGAAGGAGCGTAATTTCACTTTCAGAAGCTAGAGGGACTCTTGGATATCTTGCACCAGAAGTTTGGAATAGAAATATAGGCGGAGTTTCTTATAAATCTGATGTTTATAGTTATGGAGTGATGCTAATAGACATGGTTGAAGTGCAGAAGAACATATCTATCGAACCCAATGACCCAACTGATGAGAATTATGTTCTCGATTCTATTTATGATAAACTCGAGCAAGGCGTAGATTTGGGTGGGGCGAGCACCAAAGATCAAGAAAATGGTATTGCAAAGAGAATGACCATCGTGGGTTTGTGGTGCATGCAAACATTTCCCACTCAAAGACCTACAATGAGTAGAGTGATCGAAATGTTAGAGGGAAGCCTAGACTCATTGCCAATGCCACCAAAGCCTGTCATGCTTTCCGCTCAAGAGAAGAATTAGAAATTTTTTGAAAGAATGACAATTAAAGACTACATATATAAAATAATATTTAAAATGAGGGCTTTTAAGTTGTAAAAATGAAAGTTTGAGCGGGGGCAGGGAGCTTATTATGTAGTTTTGATGGATCTTGGCTGCATGGTTATTGCCACAACATTGGAGTGTGTATCCCCTTACAGGTAGAACTATGGGCTATGATTGATGGCCTAACTATGGCTTGGGAATATGGTTTTAGAAATATTGAGTTGGATGTTAACTATATGCTAGTTGTGACTCTGCTATCACAATATGCCACTTTGATGAAAGCCAACAGCCTGGGCAAATCTGTTTGTTTTTGAAGGAGTGGCAAGTTGAGGTTCATCATGCATATCAGGAAGGAAATAAGTGTGTAGACTTCTTGGCCTCCTTACCATTTCACTAAATTGGGGTGTGTATGGCCTGAATCATCCACCAAAAGGTTTGAGGAAGTTGCTTCACAACGATGCCGAGAGCATCGGTTAGATACGATTTTGTAATAATATATCTTATTTGGATCTTTTCATTTTCTAAACGAAAAAAAAATGTGAAAAGTTTGGGTGATAAATTTAAAAATTCAAATAGTACGCATATTCATTTTACATTAATTTTGTTAGATGGTTTTAAATTGTCATTCTTCCTTTAAAAAAAAAAATCCATTGATAAAAATGTCTATCACCAACATCCCATATTTTAGGTCTTAGAAGTTGGAAACTCCTCCTTAGATTCTAGCGGTGCAGCACCAATAAAAATAAAAATGTGTAAAAAATTTGAAGGGGATCGGATATCTATGAATGCAATTTATAATATACTCCTTTGAAAATAGTTTTTTTCTTAATATAAGGCAATGTTAGATTAGTTAATTTTTTTTCCAATTTTATCTCTTATTTATTTATTATCATTTTGACTTCTTAGAGATCAATTTATTATTAATTATAAAGAAAGGCATAATTGAAATGTCATATATATATATATTAACAATTTTTATGATATTATTACCATTTCTTAATAAGCACAACATTAATTAAGTTTGCCTTATATTGTTAAGGATTGGAGGGAGTATGTGGCATGAAATATTATCTGCCATAATAAATATTAAAGAGAATGGCCATTCAGGCAAGTCCATCAAAAGGATATGCAAGCCTTCAAAAAGTATTTAAACTGAGCTCAAAATTTATTATATTTCATTACAGGTTTTGGTGACATTGTACTATTTAAATTTTCAAATTTAAACGTGATTCTCATTTTATAAAAAAAAATCCTTAAACATGATTCTCCGTTCATTTTGTAAAAGATCAAAATCCATAATTAATTTTACAAAAAAAAAAAACAAAAACAAAATCCTTAAACGTTTCTCCCTCCATTTTTCCTCCTCGTAAATCAGTCCACAACCGAAATTGAGAGGCAGTTTCTTGATCGACATTTTGAGTATGGTCGGTTGTCATTAATACGTAATTTTCAACGGCAAAATGACATTTGATTGGGAATGGTCGAATTGAAAATCAATAGTAGATAAAACTCTAATCTTGGTTACGAGGATGAACATTTCTACCTGCTCGAAAATGCTATTCATACACACACACACACACAGACACACACATATATAATTCTATTTATATGTAATTCAATTGATTTCTCCTACGATCAAGTTCAACTAGTCAAACCCGTGTAGACTAAGCCTCCATCATTGACCTTATTACTCAAAGCGTGTCTATGTTTCCTTAATTCTGGTTTATAGTCCTGCGAGAGTTGTTACTTGTTAAGCAGCCATTCTAAAGCCATATTCTTTGCAAATCATACTGCATACGGATCCTCCTGTTCTTTTATCCCAGTTTCTCTTCAAGACCTTATTTTTTCTCTCTATTATTCTCTTTTATTTCGCTTCTGCAAATGAACAATTCTCAGCTTGCAAGCCTTTCAGCTGCGGAAGCTTCACCAACCTGAGCTTCCCATTCTGGGTCCATTCACAGCCTGATTATTGTGGCCATCCCAAGTTCAAGCTGGATTGTCATGGATACAATGCTACAATCAACATCACGTCCCAGAACTTTCACGTAATCGATCTCAACCTCACCGCTAGGACTCTTCGGATAGCACGAATGGATTTGTGGGGTACCAAGTGTCCAATGATCATTTCACAAACATCACGTTGGATTATGCTTTCTTTAGCTACAGTCTCAATGATGAGAACTCTACTCTATTATATGACTGCGACACTTCAGAACATACGACTAGAGTGAACTCATCAACTTCTGTGAGATTTGATTTCCCAGTACATGGTGTTCCTCGTGAAGCATACTTTTTGCGGGGTGAGAGTCGGAGCAGGACTGGCCTGGGATGTAGAACTAGTATTACCGTTCCTGTTCTGAGAAGTTTAATGGAGGATGTCATAGATCCTGGGGATGTTATAGATCAAGGCTTTGAGGTTAAATGGGAACTGAAAGAAGGGCTGTGTGATGATTGCAGAATCTCAGGTGGAAGATGTGGGTACGACGTAAGTTCGGATGAATTTACTTGTTTCTTTCCAGATTATGATAGGGTTTGTTTTACTGATTCATTAGAAGCACCAGCACCATGGCTGGAGCCATGGCCTCCTTATTCTTCAGGTTCATCAGGGGGTATGTGTACTTTCTCTCACCTTCTAGTTTTGATTAGATTCCTCTGCTTCATAATACGATCATCCTGATATGTTTTGGATGGCAACGGTTTAGGTAGCTTGCCATCATCGATAAATTGAATTCGTTAACATTTATGCCAACTCTTTAAGTCACTCTCA